TTTTGGAGTGCACTAAAAAGTTTTACGACAAGGAGAAACCCAAAATTGATTCATATGTAAATAGCGACGAGTTGAAGGTCACTATTAAAGAAAAAATGGAACACATTTTTATAACAAATACAGTCGATGAAGTCCTTGCGAATTATAAGACCGTTTTTTATTCGAAAAGTAATTTGGCACTTTCGTGTATTCAAATGTGCTTTTTAACAAACGAAATCGTCACTAAACAGTTTCTTGATAAAACAGAAGAACTCTTTTTAAAGAAGTGCACTGATCATATCAATGAAGCGCTTACAACTAATTTGGATATTTTAAATAACTCAGACGCTATTTCTAATCTTCTTTTAAAATTGTATGAATCTATGGAAGATTTAATTGTGAATGGATTTTTATCGGACTGGCGGTTCAAGAAAGTGTTGAACGAGACTTTAAAGAATATATTGATGAACAACGAGTTGTTAAATTTAGTCGGGGACGACTATGGGAAGTACGACTTGTTTCCCAAGTGTCTTGGGAAGTACACAAACACGGTGTTATTAACTTCTGATTTCGACTCGTTAGTGAAACAAAGTAAAGAAATAGCCGATATCGTTTCTATGATCCACAACGAAGACGCCTTTCTCTTGTGTTACACCGACCTTTTGAAGGAAAGAATTGTGATGAAGAAGTCGAAAGAATTGTATGAGAGAAAGATGGTGGAATACTTGAAAGAAGGCATCAGTGGAATAGAAACCAAATTCAATGGTTTATTCTCCGCCACTCAAAATCGTGAGATTCAAAACTCTTATGAGGAGTTCTGTGATACACACGAGACGGAGAAACCAAAAGTCCAACTTGAAGTCACCTTATTTGAGAAGACACGAGAAGTCCCAGAGGTGTACGAGATCCCAAAAAGTCTTGCAGTTGCCTTCGACTTTTACACCAAATTTTACACTGAGAAATTTGAAACAAAGAAAATTATGTTCCAGTACACTTGCTCGCAGTGCGTCGTCTTATTTAAACCAAAACAATCGCCGAGTAAAAAAGAATATATTATGACTACTACCTTCGACCAAATGCTCATTTTGTTCTTGTTTAACACAGAAAGTAAATTGAAGATCAAAGAAATTGCTGAAAGGGTCGATCTCAGTCTGGAACGAACTGCAATTGCACTCAGCGGATTAATTAAACAACATGTGATGAGGAAAAACGTCAATTTTAAGGACTTGGAAGAAAACTGCGACGTCATTTTATATAAGAAATTCGACGGAGAAAAAAGAACGTTTAACACACAGGAACCACACGAAAAGCTCAAGGTGGCTATTGAACTGAAAAAGAAAAGCGAAGAGGACAAAATGCTCGAAGATGAACGAGCTCAAGTCATTCAAGCAAGGCTCGTCGTTATTATGAAGTTCAAAAGAGTCTTGAAATTCTCACAATTGATTGCAGAAACTACTCAGGCACTTATTAATAAATTTCCAAAAATACAAATCGCGTTTGTCAAGAAACAGATTGAAAAATTGATAATAGAAGGTTATATGAAAAGGTCGGAGGACGACCCTTCTACTCTTGAATACGTCGCATAATCTCATTTAATTGACAAATAAGTGAAATTTAAAGTTTTTTGTTGTTATATTCGAATAAATAACTCTTACAATGAAATTATATGTTATATCAAGTTCTATTGAATATTGATACAATACAATATTAAATAGAATAATACGCATGTAAAAAACATATACAAGTGGTTAAATAATATTTTTAGTTATTTTTATTTTATTTAATCGTGTTTTGGTTTGTTATAGAAAATATAATGGGTTAATATATTAAACAAATAAGTTATATTGTTCAACTTTTAAAAATGTCAACAATTAACAGCAAACTTTTTGTATAAATTTTATCTTACATGTCTGGTGTTCAAAAAAGATAACAAAGCAATCATCTTTCTTGATGTAAAACGGGCATATTCTGCTTGTTTTAACAGACGATTTTGAGATAATTCATTGACATCATTACAAAATTTTCTGAAAAAACTGCTCACTGATTTTAACAAAATTTTCATTTCAGTTCTTTTGTTGGTGTTTAATATGGTACTTACTATAAGTTTCCTCATCATCACACGTTTAATTCTCCAATAATCGTGAATTGTGATTTGTGACAAATCCTCATCTAAAAGTCGTATTATTGTTTCGAGAAATTTTAGTGCTAATATTACCGTTCTTTGTGTTACATCTTCAATAACAAGTCTGCCTTGAATAGAATGAATCATATCACATAAATTCTTCAGTGTCAAACTCTCGTGGTCTGTAA